ACCTGGGGGACTGAGGGAATTTCAACTAGCGTATCTGGACCATCTCTTAGTACAAGCATGACCACTGCAACACCTACTCCAGTCAAATCCTCACCAATGGCTACCATTGGTACATTTAGCACAACAGGCCTCACATCAACACACCCTGGTAGCAGTACATCGGAACCCCCCACAAATATTCCATCTTTCTCCACTGTCCCAAATCCAGAAACAACATTCCATGCTGTAACGCCATCTACCACAATGTCCAGTAAGAGCACTATACTTGTAAGTACAGAAAACACAGCTACTCTCCCCCTCACTACAACCGTTCCATTTCCCTCTGCCATCCCCTCTTCAATGTCTACTGGTAATGCATGGACCACTGATACCACGACAGGAGCATCTTTTGTTCCTACTACCTCTACCCTTACAAGTACAGCTCTCACCCCTTCTACTTATCATACTACTAGTACATCGATAAGCGTCTCTACTGTGCTCTCATCATCTGAGTTTCCAAGTACAACCATGTCTACTCCTAAAACTTCTATCTCCGTTTCCATATTGGGAACTTCCTCCATTTCCTCCAGTGCATCTCCCACAGAATCTGTTGCAAATGAAGTAACTACGTCTGTTAACAATATCACTTTTTTTTCAACACCCACATCATTAGTGTCCTCTTCTCTCCCTTTTCCCACATCAGTTACAATGAATACTGTTACCACTGGAAATGATCTTTCTTCCCCCCATACCTCCAGTACAGAAAATAGAGTTTCTTCTGCTATCACCACTTCTCCTACTCTTTCTTCATTTGTAACTACAAGAACTTCTTCAGTAACCTCCTCTCCTACAAATACTCTTACAGAAACAACTCCCATTACTTTCATTGCCTCTACAACACCATGTCCAGAGTTTATACCAGTTACCATAGTCTCTGCATCTCCCACGACTCCATGTATTGAAATAGATTCTAATACTGAAGTTACTTCTACTCACACCATTCCATCATCAACGATCCCCTCTATTACTGGCAGTGCGACGTCTCTTAGTTCCACCAGTATTAGAACTTTCCTCCCTACCCATATGGAAACGTCTACGTCCATGCCTCTTGAGACTTACTCCACTGGCAGGCCTCCTAGTTCTATTGTCACAAGGACCACACCCACTAATTCAGTTGTGACAAGCATGCATGGGTCCACTAGTGGATCCTGGATGAGCACCAATTCTGTAACCACGCCACATAGTCCCGGTGTCACTAACCTCCCACTCACCACAAAGTCAACCATCAGCTTTCCAAGTGACACGATGACTTCAAGCAAGTTGACACAATCCACCCTGCCCATCAACAAGACTTCAGAGACGCCAGTGACCACTACCCAGATGCCCACCACGCATACTTCACCCACGACGACTTCGACCACTACGCAGTCAAGTGTGATCACCACCCCAGGTTGGACTTCCTTCCTTCCCCTGCTGAATTCATGTGTCACCAAGGTCAGAATCTATCCTGAACTTTTCCTTCTTCCTGTACTGCCCAGGCACCTGTAACAATGGTGGGACCTGGGACAATGGCCAGTGCCTCTGTCCCCCGGGATTCTCTGGTGACCGCTGTCAGCTACAGGACATCAAGTGCCAAAATGGGGGCAGATGGGATGGTCTCAAGTGCCTGTGCCCCGACACCTTCTATGGGTCCCTCTGCGAGGTCCCAAAGGAACAGGTTGATCTGGGTAAGTCGCTAGAGCCACATCCGCTGCCAGGAGCCCCACCAACTCTCCTTGGGCCCATTCTGTGACTGGTCTGTAGACATTCGTACCATTTTGTTCAATACCAAGCACAGTCCTTCATGGTCTTCTTTCCCATCTTCATGACAGTCCTCTTTTCTATGCTTACCTCAAGCAAGTGCCTAGGGCCACACCCTTTTCTGGGGATCTCCTTCTGGTCTGATCAGATTGGGGAATGCATTCATTTCCAATTGCTGCAGTAACAAGTTACCAAAAAGTTAGCAGCTTAAACAGTGCAAAGTCATATTATCTTACAATTCTGTAGGTTCAAAATCCAACTTGGTCTCACTGGACTAACATCAGGGGGTCAGCATATCTGAGTTTCTTTCTGGAGACTCAGAGGAGAGTCAGTTCCTGGATGGCACAAATGGCTTGATATGAGCTGCTAACCTAAATGTCGGCAGTTTGACCCCACTCCGTGACAGACACCACAGAAGACCTGGTAATCGTCTTCCATAATGATTACAGCCAAGAAAACCTTATGGATCAGATCTACTCTGTAACCATGAGTTGGAATCCACTGGACAACAACACATTAAAGGAGAATACGTTTTCTTGCTCTTTCCAGCTTCTAGAAACTGTCTGCATTCCTCATCTCACTCTCCTTCTCAGTCTTCAAGGTTGGCATAGCCACATCTTCCTCTGATTGAATCTGACCTTCTCTGCCTGCCTTTTCCACTTGATGCTTGTTATTACAATGGACCCATCCAGGTAACCTAGGGTCATTTTCTTACATTAAGGTCAGGTAACTGTTGTTGTTGTTGTTAAGTGCCGTCGAGTCGGTTCCGACCCATAGCGACCCTGTACAGGGTTTCCGAGGATGTTAATCCTTACGGGAGTAGAAAGCCTCATCTTTCTCCCGCGGAGCGGCTGGTAGTTTCGAACCGCTGACCTTGACTAGCAACCTTAAATCCATCTGCAATCTTGACTCTTCCTTGCTATCTAACACAATATATTCTCAGGTTATGTACCACAGGGGGCATCCTGACTTCTATTCTCTCCCTCTTCTCAGGGCAAGGTATCCCAGAATTCCTGTTCTGTCCTGCTGTTCAGACAGCAGTCCTCAGCAGACACAGAAAGGGCAGAGGGAGGA